CGCAGAGGACAGTCAGCTTAGGCAGCACTGACAGGCTTGGCCGGCCTCACTGAGCCGGCCGGCCTCACTGAGCCGCCCGGCCAGGCCGCAGCCTGGAGGCCCTGGCCACGAGCAGGCGCTCTGCAGGTCCCGTGCTGCCTGCACTGACCTCGCTCGGTCTTTTCTCACTCCTGGAGACGCCCAGCTGACTTCACGAGCAGAACTGCTCAGCCCGCACCCCACCGGCTCCCACCCGCCTTTCCGGACCAACGGCCTTTGCTCTAATACTCCCTTTCCTTTCCCGCCGGTTACAGGGCACGGGCACTCACCAGAGACAGAGAGGAGGGGCAAGTGGGGGCGGCCACGCCGCAACCCTTTCTCAGAGTTCTCAGGATTCTGGGAACGCACGCACATGCCTGGCATGTTTCTAAGCCGCCAGGTTTGGGACGTGAACCTTGTGGTTGGCCCTGTGGGACCCCGTGCCTTCAGCTGCACGCCACAGGCTGGCTGGGTCGACCTCCCTTTTCACCTAGAGGTCTGGGAGGGCCCGAGCTCCCCAGGGCTGCAGGCCGGTACAGGCAGCTGGGCTGGAGGACACAGCCATGCCACGCAGGGTCAGCTGGAGCCAGGATTCCAGCTGAGCGGCACGTCTCCAAGTGCTGCCTCCGCTCAGTGCTGAGAACAGACGGCCAGGGCGCGTCAGCTCCAAGTCGTCACAAGTCCTCGGGGCCAGCCTCAGTGGCACATGCCAGCTGACACTGGCAACGTGGGAGGCTGAGCCACAGAAGTCTGGGGGCTGGGTGGGCTGATGGTGCCTGTAATCCAGGCTGCTCGGGGGGGCTGACATGGCAAGACCCTGTCTAAAGGAAGCTACTGGGGCCAGCAGCTGGTGTGGCAATTAAGGTGCTGGACTCCCGCATGGCCGACCACAAATTCCAGACCTGGCAGATGCTTTCTTACCTTATCTAATCACACTAAAACATAAATAAATGATTATTAAACAAAAAAATAAGGTTAGTATATAAAAAGTTCTCTAGGAGAAATGACCCGTAAATCCTAGGTGAGGGGCCTGTCCTGCCTGCCGGGAGTGGCGACACCGCATCTCAGAGCTGGCAGGTCCGTCTCAGCCCTGGTCCTGGGGCCAGAGAGGCAAGTCCCAGACACGGACCGCAGTGCCAGTGCGACTGCCAGGTACGGGACCTCTGAGCCCATGTCTCCCCCTGGCACCTGCGTTGCTATTCCCGACCACAGGGAAGGCCCGGACAGTGCGAAGAGTCGCTCTCCTTGAACGCGGCCCTCACACCTCTTGGCACTGAGGCTGAGAACCCCTTGTCCAAGGTTGGAGTGGCCCTGCAAGGCAGGTGTACCAGCCCACAGGGAGGGCTCAGAGCTAGGACTGCATCGGGGTCACCCAGTCGCACCCTCAAGGCCCGGTCCAAGGCTGCGGCCCGCATCTGCACCTGCGCCCGTGCCAGCAGGCCGTGAGGCCGGGGCAGCGACCTACCTGCTTCAGCGCGTTCCGGGCGATGGTCTGGAAGGCCTGGGAGGGCCCGGGCTCCCCGGGGCTGCAGGCCGGTACAGGCAGCTGGGCTGGAGGACACAGCCATGCGACGCGGGGTCAGCTGGAGCCAGGATTCCAGCTGAGCGGCACGTCTCCAAGTGCTGCCTCCGCTCAGTGCTGAGAACAGACGGCCAGGGCGCGTCAGCTCCAAGTCGTCACAAGTCCTCGGGGCCAGCCTCAGTGGCACATGCCAGCTGACACTGGCAACGTGGGAGGCTGAGCCACAGAAGTCTGGGGGCTGGGTGGGCTGATGGTGCCTGTAATCCAGGCTGCTCGGGGGGGCTGACATGGCAAGACCCTGTCTAAAGGAAGCTACTGGGGCCAGCAGCTGGTGTGGCAATTAAGGTGCTGGACTCCCGCATGGCCGACCACAAATTCCAGACCTGGCAGATGCTTTCTTACCTTATCTAATCACACTAAAACATAAATAAATGATTATTAAACAAAAAAATAAGGTTAGTATATAAAAAGTTCTCTAGGAGAAATGACCCGTAAATCCTAGGTGAGGGGCCTGTCCTGCCTGCCGGGAGTGGCGACACCGCATCTCAGAGCTGGCAGGTCCGTCTCAGCCCTGGTCCTGGGGCCAGAGAGGCAAGTCCCAGACACGGACCGCAGTGCCAGTGCGACTGCCAGGTACGGGACCTCTGAGCCCATGTCTCCCCCTGGCACCTGCGTTGCTATTCCCGACCACAGGGAAGGCCCGGACAGTGCGAAGAGTCGCTCTCCTTGAACGCGGCCCTCACACCTCTTGGCACTGAGGCTGAGAACCCCTTGTCCAAGGTTGGAGTGGCCCTGCAAGGCAGGTGTACCAGCCCACAGGGAGGGCTCAGAGCTAGGACTGCATCGGGGTCACCCAGTCGCACCCTCAAGGCCCGGTCCAAGGCTGCGGCCCGCATCTGCACCTGCGCCCGTGCCAGCAGGCCGTGAGGCCGGGGCAGCGACCTACCTGCTTCAGCGCGTTCCGGGCGATGGTCTGGAAGGCCTGTTCCACGTTGATGGCCTCCTTAGCGCTTGTCTCGAAGTAGGGGATGTTGTTCTTGCTGTAGCACCAGGCCTGCGCCCGTTTCGTGGCCACCTGCGGAGGACGCAGCCAGGAGTGCACGCCAGACACGCCCGGGAGCCCTGCCTGGCCTACACGGTGGCACAGCAAGCCTGTAGACCCTGAAGCCCCTGCCAGCCCACAGGGTGCTACCAGGACTCTGACCCAGACCAAGAGGCTTCTCCTGGGACCTCAGACTCCCACGGGGTGCCCAGAACCCTGCAGCCGCCCCCGCACACACCTCTTCCCCACCACCACAGCCCATCCCAGCCAACAGACTGGACCAAGTCCCTCAGGCAGGAGAGAAAGAGACGCCAGTGGCCGGAGGTGAGCCGTGGTGACAGCACACGGTGACCCGGAAGCTCCCAGAGCTCCACCCCCACGGGCAGACGCAGACCCCGAGGCCCACGAGGGCCCTATGGCGACACTCGCACCCCGGGGTCAGAGCCACGCTGAGCCCTCCAGGACGGCGCCCACCCATGCGACCCACGACCTAGAGCACTTACTTGTCTGTTCTCAAGGTCGATCTTGTTCCCCAACACGACAAAGGGGAAGTTTTCAGGGTCCCGGGGACTGGCCTGGATGAGAAACTCGTCCCTCCAGCTGTCGAGGGTCTTGAAGGTGTTGGGCGCGGTCACGTCGAACACCAGCACACAGCAGTCGGCGCCTCTGTAGAAGGCCACGCCAAGAGACTGGAAGCGCTCCTGCCCGGCTGTGTCCCAGATCTGTGGGAGAGCAGTCGTCCTGGGGCGCAGGCTGAGCACCGTGCGAAGGGTGCAAGCCGGGGCCACCCCGACAGTCCGGGGCACACCCGAGTGTGTCTGGGCTGCGGCAGCCCCTGAAGAGCTGGCCCAGGGCGGGGCCGCAGGAGCAGGTATGCGTGAGAGGTGAGCGGGGAGACCAAGAGCTGCCAACGCCGGGGCTTGGGGGAATGGAGGGCGTGGAGGACAGTGCTCGCTCACTGAAGTCTTCACTGAAACCAACGCATCTTGCTGTAGGTAGAATCTGCCTAGAAACGAAAGGACCTCTCGCCCTATACTCAATTAGAAACAACAGCGACCGAGGCGAACACGCTCCTGACCAGCTTGGAGACCACCGCACGGCCGTGCGCAGGCTGGCTCTCCTCGCTGCCCTAGAAACCAGATGGTCCAGAAGATGGCGTAGAAATGCATCCGGGAAGCAACAAGCTCGAATCAGAGCCAGTTACCCACCTTCCTGGGCAGGGGGACTAGGTGGGGCCCTGCCAGAGCGTGCGTGCCATCACGCTGGGCACAGACAGGACCTGGGGGAACAGCCCACCCACATGTGGGGCTGGGCCAGGGTACAGGGGACGGACGACAGGACAGGCCACGCAATAAGGTAAGTGGAAAGAAACAGCTACTCCTTTAACAGGAAAATAGAAAAAAATGTTTAAAACAGAACTTAAATCTAGGCTTGGACAAACTGAGTTTGTTTTCCCCATTAGGGAAGTAACACTTATTACGCAAACGCTTGAAAATAAGCCAAAGCCAAGAATAAAGGTGCTCTGTGCCCTCCCCAGGGTGCCCGAACCCCGGGCTGGGCCTGCCCTGTGGTGCAGTGATCAAGGAAGCTGGACGCCACATGGCTGAGTCAACAGTTCAAATCTCAGCCCCACAGCTTGAAAACACACTGGGGGGAGGGAACACCGGCAGTTAGAGTAATGACTGTGGCTGGACTCCCACGTAGTCGACCCGGTTCGAGTCTCAGACCCGTGTGTGTGTCCAAGATCCCGAGAGGAGAATGGAGGAGAAGAGAGTGCGGTGTGGCCATCCCCCCCGGGGGGTGATTTCTCGCTTTCTATCTCTTTCTGGCGAGCGCACACGTCCTATGGCAAAAATCTCTCCAAAAGAAAACCACACTGGTCACGTGTGCACAGGGTAGGAAGATGGAGGAAGAGGGGTTGGGCGTGGCCCCGCCCCACGGGAATGCTCCCTCCCTCTCCGTTTCTCTGAGCACCCATGAACTCTACAGATTAAGGGGGGGTAGCCACGTGACCCAGCAGCTCCACCCCCGAGCATATGGGGGTTTTCAAAGTTCACGAGGAACATGGATCATGGGGAGGACTGCGTGGATTTCAAGACATTTCACACAAGGAAACTCGAACTTCATTCCTCACTTTCTGAAGCCCTCGCACATCTCCAAGGGAGATGAGAGCACGCGTCAGAGATCTCTGTGCCCAGGCCACTGCAGCACAACTCGGAGGGCCACAGGATAATCTGCTGCATGAGGACGGAGCACTGAGGACTGACAGCCCGCTCCCCATGGTGAACCCAGTGACGTTAGGTGAGGACATTAAGCCAAAAGCCAGACACGCTCACTCACAGAGGGTCTCCGAGCTGCCCTCAGGGACTGTCGCGGGGCCTGCGCAGCAGTGGGCAGGGCAGGGGGGACAGGCACAGCCCGCCAGTCGGGGTCCCAGAGCATGCAGGGCAGCTGCAGTAGCCCCCATCCGTGGTTCCCGCTGCGACCCACCACACCCTAGCCAGCCCAGCTGGCAGGGACACGCGAGACTGGCTGATCGGGGAGGTCCCTGCCCCAGTGACCCTGGGCCCTCCCACGCGTGGCCTCGGCACACCCAATGTGCACACGCCGGTTGTCCTCTGGGCACTGTGCGTGGTTCCCAGGCTCTATCCCTCTGGTACACGGACACCTGCACCCTCCCTACGCCTGAGGATTCAGAACCCCTCCAGAATCACCAGCTCCTCCCCGACGGGGCCGTGCTTACTGGAGCTGGACCCCAAGGTCAGACATGGGCCCGTGCGGGTCTCACAACCTCACAGGCGCCTGAAGGCCGCTTACTGCAGTGCGTGGTGCCACCATACGAGGTCAGGTGTGGGACTTCTCACTTGTGGCATCACACTGGGGCTCAGCAAGTTTCCGACTTGGGAGGTTTTGGACTTTGGAATTTCTGATTAGGGACGCCCAACACTAACCATAAGGCCACAAAGGCTTGAGGGCCTCCTGTCTCTGCCTCTGGAAACCAGAGGCCCTCACCCTGTCTAGATCCCACCTGCCCTGTGGTCCGCCTCTGGTCTGACCCTAGGAGCACAGCCCAGCCGTCCCAGCGAGTGTGGGGGTCCGTCACCAAGGGGCTCCAGCAGGCACTGCACTGCCCTCAGCCCACAGGGCGGCAGACCCCAGCTCCGCAGAGGAGCTCCCCCGGCCCTGCCCAGGTTTCCAGCGTCTGGCACAAGCAGAGCCTCGGTGGGCCGAGGTGCCGACATCCTGCCGGGATCGGCTGGCGTCGACCTCACGTCGTCCCCTTCAGTCCCCACGGCCCGTCAGGTGTCAGGGCCGGACCTCCTGCACATGGCCCCACGCCCGCCGGTGCCTTCAGCCGTGCTGTGCCCACGGGGTGCCCGGCCAGCCCACCTCGCTGCTAATGCTCTCTCCCTTCAAGCTCCACGCGCCCCACACCCTCCCCGTGGCAGCCCCTCCCTTGATGGTTTCTATTCCTTTTTAAAAACATCTCTAGTCATTGTGAGCCTGCCTTGGGCACGGTTTCCTCATGTGCTTATGAGCTCGCCTTCCTTCCAGACCCGTGTCTCCCTGCCGGATCCCACAGGTGACAGGGATTCATGTCAAATTTCTCTTTTAAGTAGTTTTTATAGGTTGTGTGGTGGTTAAAATGCTGGATCCCACATAGCTGACTGCACAGTTCAAGTCCAGGACCCAGCAGACAAAAAACTCATCAGTGGGACCAGCGTAAGACGATTACGTTACCGGACTCCCATACGCAATTGCGGTTTGAGTCCCAGGCCCTGTGGCTTCAAACTCAGGCCAGATGTGTGTGTGTGCATGGCCCAAATCCAAAGAGAACGTAGGAGGAGAGACAGCGGTGTGGCCATCCCACCTAGGGGGTGATTTTTTGCTTTCTGTCTCTGGCTAACACACACCCTATAGCAAAAATCTCTTAAAAAAAAAAGATAGTAAGAAAAAAACACCCAGTGACCGGCACGTGGCATAGCAGTTATGTTGCTGGACTCCCACGCGGAGGTTCAAGTCCCACACCTCGTGTCTAAAACTCACGCCAGGTGCCTGTGTGTGAGTGCCCAAGAACCTGGGAGAGAAATGGAGACAGGGCCGTGGCGTGGCTATCCCCCGGAGGGTGATTTCTCACTTTCCCTCTCACCGTGTCTGCTTCTGGTGAGCACACACCCCAGAAGGAGGAAAACACCGAGCACGTGCATGTGTGCCCCAAATGCAGAGGACACTGGAGAAGGAGTGAGGTACCTGCCAGGGGAGACGGCTCTCTCTTCCCCCCTCCCTCAGTGAGTGCGCGTGCACACGAGGGTGGGGAGATGGCGCCCCAACAACAGCTCGATGCCACAACCATCCATAGCCCTGGGCCAGCCCTGGGGCCCCAGTGCACTCAAGGAGACCTCTGGACCCGATGTGGAACCTTCCCAAGAAGGAGGCCCTCCCAGATCGTGGCCTGTCACTGCGGTGCCACAACCTGGCTGGGTCAAGTTCTTCATGACAAAGACTTCGGCAATGCACAAAACGTGGACCGTGGGACCGAGGCACCCTGGAGGCAGGGCCCGCTCTCATGTCCTTCACAGGGCCCCGGAGCGCACGGGGAGGCGCGTCCTCGGTCCCAGCCCCTCTGGCCTGCACGACCTAGATCGCTCCCTGTCCTCACAGCCGAGCCCAGACTTGTCACTGGCCTCAGTCCCCGCTCTGGCCCTGTAACCTACAGAGCCGGAGATGCCTTTTCTCGCGTGCATGCTTTACCCGGCTCTGCTTTCTGGGAGAGCGCAGAGACAAGCACCCCAAGGCTGTCCTGCCTCAGCCAGCCCAGACCACGGGTGCTTACACAGCGGGCGTACAGGTAAGCACGAGACAGGGACCCAGCGCCCCGCTGCGTGGGCCCAGCTGCCCGCCAGGTCGCAGTCCAGCCTTCAAGCTTGGCCTCAAACATCTGTCCCTAAAGAGTTCCAGGTGTGTGGGGTCCCTTTCTAGACTGAGAGCCAAGTCCTCCCTGTCTGCAGGAGCAGTTGGCAGCCCCAGGGCTGCACGTGAGCTCCTGCCTCTCACCTGCACCTCTCAGGAGCTCCGCTCTGCCAGGTAAGGTGACAGCGGATCTGGCCCCAGGGGAGGTTTTAACACCATAGAGCGAACAGCTGCACACGTGGGACAGGTGTGGAGTGACCAAGGGCCTTGCGTGATGCAGAGCTGTGCAGGACAGGCCCATGAAGCCAGCGAGAGGCAGAGGTGAACCACAGACAGCTTCCTGTGCATCCTCCGCACCGCCAAACACACACGAGTGTCCTGGCTGGTGCTCTCCAGCAGGCAGCTGCACACCAGGGCCTCCCGCCACGCTCCAGCCAAAACTGGACCCAGCTGTGGTGGTGACAGTCTGCCCACACGGACGGCGAGCACCCTGTGGCTGCACAGCTGGGGATGCCACTGGGGACCTCAAGGTAGGCCAGTGTAGAGCAAGGCACCCCAAGGTGAAATGCGACCCTGCGCGGCTGACCCCGTGGGAGGTTCTGGATCCACATCTGGAGACCCCTCGGGGCACATGCACACCTATGAGGGGGGGCAGGCTGTGGCTCCGATACCCGGGGGGGGGGGGGGCCGCCTAGCTCTCTCTCTGGCTTATGAAATAAACTTAGGGGACAAAAAGAAGAGGAAAGGGCT